GTGAGGAAAGTATGAGAAAAATACAGTGTGAGTCGCTCCTTGCGCTTGTGTTGATTTGATAAGGCTTTGGGGAAAAGGCACACCTGACGGCTCGTCAATAAAGAAGAGTGAACGGCCACTCTGCTCGCAGTCTCGTTAGGACAGAGAGGTGTCTACGTCAATTAATGTGTGTGTGTGTGCGATAATCACCTAATAACTCAATCAACGCTGCCTCGCTCAAACGTGGCTTTCATCAAGACTCAACAAACAATATGTAAAAAATTTGCAAATGTGTTCTACTACCAATCTGGGTAGAATTTGACACGTTTTCCCAATGTAATCAAGGAATTTATAACTTACCAGTGGTTGGAAGGATATACAAAGATATTGATCCCAATGGATAAGCATTGGGTTTAGACCTCATATTTGGTAGTTGGCTTTCGTCAGGCTGGGTTCATGTCTAAGTATAAAGACAGATTTTATTCACCTCAACTGTCTGTGTAAAAACTGTTGATCCCTATTCAACTCCAGTTGGTCTTGTTGTTAAGGGATTGTTAAAATCAAAGTAGGCGAAAAGACTTGAACCTAAGTCAGCAGGAAAATAATGACTGCAGCTGGGTAGCATGGCAACACAACCAGGTGAGCCACAGTCATTAAATTACAAAATGTCTTTGACTGAAAAAACACACGTATCTACTGGACGGTGAAATAAACGTGTCACTTTATCGCCTAGATAAAAACAGTAATTTCCTTTCTCTGTGAATAACAATTACACCTTCACCCCCATGAACAGCAAACAGAACAATTTCATTTCAGCATTTTTAAGTCAGTTCTCTAGGTTTAACTGCCTTGAGGTTTGAAACTAAACCCAATACTGTAAAGCAGATCCCCACTTCTATTTTGCATATTGCAGCAGAAGATTCAAGGTTAGAAAAGAGGCATTTGCTGACAATAGATTCTAAATGTTAACGTTTGCTTATGATCTAAATATCACTTGAAGCACAGTTTGCTTTGAAAGAGAAGAAGAAAGTAATGTGGCTTCATCAATATTTGATCAAATCTCTCTCTTTTCTACTTTCAGTGATTAGATACACTCATTTCAACCTCTATAGCACCGGATCTGCTTGCATGCTACGAGCAAATGATTCCTGTCTTCTATAGGGGGGGATCTTACTATGTTATCCAGTTGAACGACACGTTCTGGAGACCCAAGTGTTCAACCGCTCCCTTTGAATACTTACACTCACAAAGAGGTAACCCCTATATGATCGTGTCTGCTTTGACCTGCACAAGGTCCATGTGGTTCGGTACTGCACGTGGCGATAATGGCCAAACAGGTGGCAAAGGGTGGGTGGGGATGTGATGGAGACATTGCAGTAGATTTTTTGGCTTTGTTGAAAGTCGGTGGACGAAACCTGCAAAATGTATCCGTCACCTCCAGTGGCAAGAGCCCAAATCCATCAATGCCAGACCTCAGGACGTGGACACCAGTCCAGGAACAGTGTGTTTGTTAATAAAAGTCTGTGTGTGTGTGTGTGTGTGTTTTTAAGATGAGCTCCAGCCTTCAATTCTAATACAGACACAGAGTCTGTTAAAAGGGAAATGTGGGGCTGAGGACAGCAAGGTGGAGGGATGTGAGCACCAACAGTTTAAACATCCGCTGGTTCATGTTCCGATGACGCTCATTCTGGGCAGCGGTGCACAAATAAAAACAGGAAATCGGACCAACAGGCTGAAGCTGGAAAGTTTGGACTGCCGGATTGAGTGAACCCAGCCGACATGCACCGATACGAGCTAAGCTCCTTCCGCTCCATGGGATCAGCCGGGCTTTAATATGCGTGCCGCATCTCGGCTGTGTCTGTTTGCGATTTAATTGACTGCTCTTATTAAATAAAGCTACATCTTCACCACACACAATAACTAACACATTCCTCTTGTCATCAACAAAAGATGAATACACACAGCGTGTCCCATTATGGGATCTATGAGGTTTTAAATAAACAGTTCCCTCACTACAGTGAGATCCTTCTCTTGGTAGTAAATCTATCAATGCTGATGACAGCTTGTTTGTACTCTTTCGAGCGGCCGGTGAAATATATTCTCATTTACATCGCAGTAGCTATATTATATATATTGAAAGCTCATTGAGAGGCAGTAAATGCCGCTTGCGTGCCAAGTGGCTCTGTGTCAACACAGTGGAGCATGCAGCCGCTGGACACCTGAGTTTTGCACACCTAAACACATTAGCACTCATGCTAGAGCAAAGAGGAACCACTTAAACTTGTGTTGTCATTACACCGATCACCTGACCCGCTCCTTGTGCACCACAAATAGCTCAACTATTCCACTTGTCACGCACTGAGTGCACTCCTTAATGCACTCATTAACTTTAGGTTAATGCTTGAACAGCATGCTGGTAAGCTAGAAGTTAGCCTGACGTATTTGTCGTATGTCGTATTATATGGAAATTGTCGTATTTGCAACAGGGTTAGACAACAAGTTCACTTTTCTTTTCAAGGTCTTGAAACAATCCTCACATGCCAATACGTAATGTGAATGCATAGTTATAAATTGCTTCCGTGCAGGGTTCCCTTTTCATTGCCACTACTTGTCTGATGGAACGATGCAACACTCAAACATAAAGTACATCAATATCCAGATGAATATGCAAAAATTGTTTTTGAGAAATATTTTGATCTGAAACTATCCTTTCAGGATTCGCAGGGCAACTGTACTCTACAAGTATGACTGCAGGCTGCCGCGTCAATTTCACTGTGAACCTCTGGGTGCGTGTCACATTTTATGCTGCAACGTCTTTGTTTCTGTGGCTCTTTTGTATTGTTGCCAGGCCAATTAGGCAGGTTAAAGATCTTGCGCTTGGCAAACTTTGAAAGGGCAACTGTTCTTTCCGCCTTGTTTCCCACAGTACCAACTCAACAACTGCTTAATAATAGAGACGGGAAAAACACCTCAGCCAGTGGCGTGAATCCAGTCTAACGTGGGGAAACCAACTAACCACATACAAGAACTTCAATGCTTATGTATTCCAAAGTGTTTCCTCGAAATAGGTCAAGTTACACAATAAAAAAAAACTCCCTCGGAGGCTATGACGAATGCTGCAAGCTCCTCCGCTGGACTTGATTAGGCTGGTGAAGGGATTAAGGCCCCGACCCCCACAAATTTACCCAATGACACTGTCCTAGCAGGGCCCAGAACCAAGCCGAAATCATCTACATGTTAATGGCTGCTTTCTAGTCTTTTGATTAGGATGACGAATGGTTGGCTGTATACTGAGTGAGTCTCTGTGCAGGACTGTGTGTGTGTGCGTGTATGTGTGTGTGTGTGTGTGTGTGTGCATGTTTGTTTTGCCTGGTGAGCAGCAAGAGCACCCTACGACATCTTTGATTGACATGTGAGATTGCAGAAGTGTTTTGATAGTGTGGCCAGTAGAAGGATGGGAGGTCTCATTCATGCGTCTACCCAGGGGAGAACACTTGCATTTACTGTACACACGCACACACACACACACACACACACACACACACACACACACACACACACACTGCTGCGATCATTGATCAGTTTGCCTGCAATCTCCTCTTAAACAATTAAGGGTGCTGAGGGCATCATTAAGGTCTGTGTTTAAGGACGCTTTGCAGGGGGTGGAATCAAGGTGAGGCTGATTCCACAGGGTGGATATGAAAATGCTCATGATTCATTTGAACAATAAATGTTTAATGTGTGCACTATAAATTCAATCAGCGCTGATTAAACTCTTAATGGAACTTAATGGAGACTGATGGGAGGAAAGCATCTTTTGGTGCGTGAGTGTAGATTCGGTGAGTTGGAAAATTGCATATAAACCTGTCGGGAAGCAGACTGGCTGGTAAAAGCCAAAACAGAGACACTCAGCCGAGGCAGCATAATGTTGCTTCTGTCTAATCTACAATAGGAAGCCAATCGACCCCGCCAGAGGAGCTGAAGTCCAATGTATTAGGATGAGGTCAATTTATACATCTAACGTCTCCTGCTACTAAGCTTGATGAATCCAGATAAGCAACACGTCATGTTCGGGTTGTGTTGTTAAATGTCAGATAATGCAAAAATGGTTGGGGGAGACTAAAGATCCGCCTGATTAATACACTGAGGCAAGTTTTTGCTTTATCTGGAGGCAAGACAACGATCATCTGAGAGACTATTTAAAAGAACTGCCTTAAAGGTGCACTCTGAACTGAAGTCTCAAACACGGCTAAGAAGGAGTCCTTAGAATTCCAGAGAAATTTCAGGAAATCAATAAACTGAGTTTAGCCTTTTAGCGTGAAGAACCAGCTTGGTCTTGAGATTGACATTCCGCCTTTTGAATTGAGGGTCCGGTCTTATGAATCTTAATGGTTTGAGTAAAAGTTGTTCTGCTGCACAGAGATACAGGAGAAGAATAATACAACCTGAAATGTAAATATGAAGCTAAAGCCAGCAGCTTTAGCTTAGCATGAAGATCGCAGACACAGCTGGCTCCATCTGCATTTGCTGACAGACCCGAGAGTTGCATCAATGTTCTCATCTAACTGTCAGCAAGACATCAATGAAGTACATTTCTCAACACATATTTCTGTGTAATCTCACAGGTGCAACGGATGTCACACGCTGTACAAGAAAATACGCAGTTCCGTCACATTACATAACGTTCAAAACCCAGAAAATATACATAATATATTATGCAATCTGCTCCGTGGAGATTGTCTGGCATACACATATTATTGCTGGTAATTTGTGTTCCTTGATCCACTATCCAAAATAATCTATCCATTGGATGACTGCATCTTCCCCTTTCCACGTTTACGATGAGGACAAAGCAGTCTTGAATCATCGACACCTCATATAAATACGTAGTTCAGTTGGTCGCATAATGAATCGACATCACAACTTAATCCCAGTCAAACATTTGCTGTGAAGAGCCTCAGACACTTCCAGGTCAAGGGTGTCATCACCTCAGTGGCCTTTAATTTAGGCTCCTCACTCACTTGGCACTCGGTTGATGGCTCTCAGGGGCCTCAGCACGCGAACTGTCCTCACCGCCGAAAAACTGACGTTCTGCAGGTCGAGCGAGTACTCCAGCATCCTGCAACATGTGAGAGAGGGAGAGAGAGAGAGACAAAGAGAGAGAGATGGATGTGTTAGTACAGCCGCAACAAACCACAGGTTTTAATTGCTATCGTGGCTCACGTGGCCCTGCTTCATCATCTGGGAATAAAAACAAGGAAAATAAGTGCAATATTATGAAGCCAATTATATATTGCATGTAATTCATTCTCTCCCCCGCTCACTGTGTAACCCGTAATTAATCCTGTTGTTCAGAGTCCTGTTATACATTGTTGCCTTTAAAGATGACTGCTGTACATGTGTTCTGGCACACAATGCCCATCCATTACATCTGTAGCCAAAAACCTCACGCACAATGCGGCGTTGTGTGTATCTGCCTGTTTGTTTGTGCCTGTGTGCAGAGCGCCGCAAACACGCAAAGTTCTTCATGCCTGAAACACACACACACACATGCAACCAGGCGCAATCAACCTTTCAAAGGAGCGAGCAGCGGCATATGTGCATCCGCTTAAGGACGTTAAAAGTGGGTAAATCACTTGTTATTGAGGAGGAGAATGTGGCATCCAGCAGTACATGAAACCTCGAAACCTTGAGACGGCACACACGCACACGTCTCAACAGCCTCTCCTGCAGCTCTTAGGAGGCTCTCTCAGGCGAGGTTAGAAGGACAGCATTGAGAGGGGAAAGCAACTGCGGAATGCTTGAGAAAACCTTTTTCTTGCTTCTTGATTGGTGTTTGTCGGCAACTGGCCGCCCACTCACTCTGTGTGTGTGTGTGTGTGAAGCAGATTCTGAGCACATGTGCAGCTTCGGATGAAGGAATTCCCTCCATGTCCGTCCCGCCTGTCTGTCTGTCTGTCCGCCAAATGTGTAACACATCGCACAGCGCATGTGCAGTTGAGTATGTGTGTGTGTGTGTGCGTGTGTATCTGTTCCTGTGTGCTAGCATGTATGTCACCTTAGGTGGAAGAAACTCCTTAAGTAAAAAGTTTGCGTTCGGGGTTGTAAAAGCCTTTCCAACAGCAGACACACATACTGTATGTATGGTATATACACACACACACACACATACACATAGCTGACAGATGGAAGTTTAGTGGGTAAACGGTTCACAGAAAGGAGATACATAAATATTCAGCAAAGTCTGTGATGGACACCAAGGTGAAAATGCCTCAACTGGCAGTTTAATGAAAGAGTAACTTTCAAAATCGGTGTCATTGCAACCAAATGTACGATGAGTGTATCACATAACGAGGATTCTGTGGGTCGGTTTTATGTTGTGGCACCGAGAGACAGAAAGAATGGTCAAAATCGATCCATTATCCGGCTCACGTTGTGTAACCAGTGGTTAGCTAGCTTGCTAATTCCAGCATGTTTTATCGCCACACTCATTTTGAGAATTCTGTCTGTCACTTGTTGGTGCGACAACTTTAAACCCAGGTAGAGAATCCTTGTGAAGCAAAAAACATTATTTATGACGATGTCTATTGATCTTGAAGCAGGCTGCCACGTACCAGCCTGCTTCAATGCCTCCACCATCATCCCTGTTCCCAAGAAGCCCAGGATCACAGGACTCAATGACTACAGGCCCGTCGGCCTGACCTCTGTAGTCATGAAGTCTTTTGAACGACTAGTTCTGACCCACCTGAAGTCCCTCACCGACCCCCTCCTGGACCCCGTGCAGTTTTCCCACAGAGCCAACAGGTCTGTGGACGATGCTGTCAACATGGCCCTCCACTACATCCTCCAGCATCTGGACTCCCCAGGAACCTACGCCAGGATCCTGTTCGTGGACTTCAGCTCTGCCTTCAACACCTTCATCCCGTCTCTGCTGCAGGACAAACTCTCCCAGCTGGGCAGGGACAAGGGGGACAAGGGCAGGCTGCAGCATGTCATCCGCTCTGCAGAAAAGGTGATCGGCTGCAATCTGCCGTCCCTGCAGGACTTCCAGGTCTCTGAAGCGAGCTGAAAAGATTGTAGCCGACCCCTCTCACCCCGGACAAAACCTGTTTGTGCCCCTTCCATCTGGCAGGAGGCTGAGGTCCATCAGGACTACGACCTCCCGCCACACGAACAGTTTCTTCCCGTCGGCAGTCGGGCTCATCAACAGAGCCCGGTCCCCCACTGACTGACTATAATATTCCACCGGTCACTCCCCTTCATACTGCACATGTCACTTTAACTGTAATTTTTCACTCGTCTTATGTCGTCACTCGTCACTTGGTTACTTGTTCGCTAGTGCACTTTATGTTTAATATTTTTTTACTTTTTAAATATTTTAATTTTTAACTTTAACTTTATTCTCTTGTTTTATACTAACCCATAGCCTTATTCTTCTAACCCATTGCATTAGCATTTCGTTTTATTTTATTTTATTACTTGTGCACTACTGTGCAGTAATTGTTGTCTATTGTTACACTGTCTACTGTCACGCACCAACCGCCAAGCAAATTCCTTGTATGTTTGACATATTTTGGCAATAAATGTTTCCTGATTCCTGATTCCTGAAGACTCAACAGATAGCTTCATGGGTAAATGCATTGACCATGATTGAAGTGCTGACTGGGGTTAGTGGGAAATGTATGGTGATACTATCAGGATAACAATGGCAAACCAGCTTGAGGGCCACAGACATCCCATAAATCCCCACAGCGATATTATACAAATATTAGCGTAATTTCTTGTCAGATAAAGAGTTGCATAACCAAACTTATAAGCCGGTGACGAGTGATTGTCGCCCATGCAAAAACAGCCCCCCACCACCCCTGACGAGAGCCAGTTTGGTGTGCTCGGTGAAAAGTGACCCATCTCTCCTCATCTGGAAATGGGGAAACGGCCGAGGAGAAATGTAGTGGATCAAACAAACGATGGAAACGACAGGAAGTCATGCGCTGTTTTCTTCAGAGCCCGTGCCAGTGCTGATGGTGCTGATACAAGAGGAGGGCAATCGCAGGGGGACTGAGAAATGGGAAGCAGGAGGGGGGACGGGGCAGCCCCGACCTTGGAGGGGGTTGGCGTGAGGAGAATTCCTAAACTACTAAAAGCACACAAAGACAACTTTACATCTTGTCTTGTCATGCACACCGTGAGATGCAACATCTCCATTTGGGGACATCGGTAGAAGGACACACAAAAATGCCATGACATTCATACTGTACCAATTGAGAAAAGAGAAAAAAAAGCATATATTAAAAAGAGTGCCCAAACACACAGCGTGTATCTTCTAAGCTCGTCCTCTCTTATCCCAGAGGATGAACGTTGGTGTTTGTGCCAAAGCTGCCAGACACATGATGGATGGTATATGTTTACACTTTTTTCAGCTGGAGGGCAAAGACCTGGCAGCTTGGAACACACATACACACGGGACGTAATGCATATAAGGAGTACGCAAGGCTGCCAATGTTAAACCTTAGTCATTCTATCCATCTGGCTTCCTGCGCTATTACACCGTCATTGTGTTTTTTTTCACTTTTTCCTTACAAATCATGATGGAGAGAGTGAGAAAAGAAAAATGGACACATTTGGATGAAGTCTCCTCAGCTTTCATGCTTGATTTGAGGTCGGGGAGTTTGTTTTTATCATGAAAGAATTTACGTGGTGAATAATGTTGGAAATGGGTTTGCAGAATAACTCCGGCTAGACAAATGGCTTTGGGATATTGTGCAAGGTATTCAGTATCGTAGTGGCCCATTGATCATCCCACATAGAGGGCTGATCATTTCTTGGCAATCTAAAGTATATTATTTGTCTGGTTGCACAGAGTAATGTGAATTTAAAGTACAGACGCAGTACTGTTAATTGCTTTATGAAAGCTGGAAAAAGATACACCTTCCCGATTTAATAGCATCACGATAACTAAACAGATTCTGCAGTTTATGTGTTTTTAGCGGAATGTTTTGTTTTTTCTATGCTACCGGCCCATTAGCGGACTGACAAAGTTAGTTATTGGAGTACAAATAAACCTTCTAAATGTGTGATCCATTGCTCCCTGCCCCCCCCCCCCCCACACACAAACACACCTCACTTTGATTCTCCATTGCAGTTATTTTCTTATTGCCTCCACTGTTCCGGTTTTTATTACTAAAAAAATGGCTTTATTATCAGTGCTATTAAACGTCACAGTACAGCCCGTCAGTTAAATATTGGGTAATAATCGTGAATATTGAGAAATGGCTGCTATATTATTACATTAGGAAATGACTTTTTGTTATTGGATTATGGGATTATTCCAATTTAGCTGCAATTTGCTCCATCGTAATCTGTTTTATGATGTATCGCTTATTATGAACTAACCAGTCATCTGTCCGCTCTGCCGATATTGCTTTCATCGCGTATTGTTTTCCTTTCTTTCAGCCTTTCCTTCAGCAAAGCTAGATGTTCCCCAGCAGATGCATTGAGAGTGATGGATGTATGGGTGTCCAGAAGGAGTATTTTTTTTTATTATTGTCTACCTGCAAGTATATTGGTGAAGCGCAAACACTACAATACGTCCACCATAGGAGCAACTCAGATTTGTAATGTAAAAACACATAAACCCACATATTTAAACCCAGTTCAGGCACTGGCACGGACACCTGCTAACGATGGGAGTCTGATGTTATCAAACTGAGTGTAGTCCGATTAGGGAGAAGAGGAGGGAGGAAAAACACCAGAGAGAACGGACAGATGGAGTGTTTTCATGCTGAATCAGACTTGAGAGCCTTTCATCAGCAACACGTTCTGCCATCAACCCACTCGGCTTATCCAACCCAAATGTTAACCAACTTATTCTTCACAGTCACAGCCGATGGCTGTATACCTCTCTTTCACTTGCATCTCTTGTATCTGGTGAGGGGGATTCTCATCCTGCTGCAGAAGGCAAAGGTCTTATGGACAGGGCGCCTCTCACACGTCGGCATGCTGACCCGCAGTGAGACAGTTGTGCGCTATCGCTCCCTCAAGGAAGGAATAAAAAAGTGCTTGCAAAATGTGACTTGGCCCAGGACAAATCAAATGAGACTCAACGAAACAATGTCCTTG